CTTATTTGCGCGAGTAACACAAACCAAAAAGGAAATAGAATTTTGTAAATAAACTAAGTGCGTAAAGATAGAAGTTTAGGGTTAGGAAGTTAACATTAGCGGTTATAGCAATAGATTGTTGCCTGTTATATGTAAAATTTCGTTCCCGACATTTTTGATTAATGATTTAAACACTAGTTTTTGAGTATTTTATGCCGGAACCGTCGCCATTTCCTTTTTAGAGGTTTGTATTACTCGCGCAATAAGCGCGTCCAGTATCGTCCTCCCTTCTTGAATGGATTGGAACTTGATGCCTTCTTCGAAAAATATCAAATCGCGTTGGAGGTACAAGGAGCCCAACATCGGTTTCATAATACTAGCTTGTATAAGGATATTAAAAAACTCGAAGATATTGTTAATCGTGATCGCCTAAAAGATGCATGTGTCAAGATAATGACTTGAAGTATGGTACGATGAAAATCCAGAAATTGTTATTCCGAAGAGGATACAAAAAATTAAATTGCTGTTAAATGTTAACTTTAATATATGATTTACATTTAAAATTGTTTTTTCGAATACGTAAAACATGTGGAATTTCGAATTTCTAGAATGTATTTTTTCCTGCACTTTTTTTATTTTTTCCGCATTAATTAAGCTAGTCCTGGTAGCTCGATTCCGCTTATATGATCGTGTTTACTTTGTATATGTATTTCGGGATTTTATTACATTGTACATAGTCATCGATGTGTATTAACATATTTAGATCAGAAATTTTTTCCATATTTCAAAATAATGGCACTTTGCACCTGGTTCCATAAAAGCTTAATGCAATAAAAGATATCGCCAAAACAACATACAAAAAAGATCATATTGCAGATATACATTTCAATTACATAACTTGAATGCATAATATATTCTATTCTCTTTTACGCCATCTACGAGCATGGCTATTCTCATAATGTTTCATAAAATCATAATCATTTGAAAAAGTTGCACTACATTTAGGACAATCGAATATTTCATCATTTTCTGATGATGATAATTCTGAGGATTCCTAGTTATGGAATACATGAATTTATAAAAAGGTAGTTAATAATAAAAAAATTACAAAATAGAAAGTAATAAGACTTACCTGTGAAATTGTATCATCAATTTTCTGCACTTCAAGTGTGAATTCTGGTAAAATACTACCACCATTTACATTATTCCAACCATGTGAAGTTCGATAAACAACCCCACTTGCCCTCCGTCTGTAAATAAATATGTTCTTATTCTTTGGGTCCACTAACCAACCAAGGTCAACTGACGAGCCCGTTGCAAAGTAAATTTTCCTGAATTTTTGATCTAAATCATTAAATTCTTGATAACCTTCTCGGACAACCGCGACTTCCACAACAAATGTCGGTGTAAACGACTGGCCTTTGAATGTCCATTGTTGTTGATGATCAAGCGAACGGTAAATATTTTTTGGAATAAATGCAACATCAGGTGTACTAATTGTTCGCTGACCAGAAATATCGAAATCAAATCCACCCTGAGATGTAGTGATAATTCCGTTTTGGCGAGTATACACATTCCAATTGCGAAGTTGACCGGAGATCTCACAAGCAACGGCTTCCATGATTATTGGTTTTTGTGGCATTGGTAAAAGTTTTCCTTCATTGAATTCAAATAGGTTTACCGGGTTTCCATCGATCTTCAAGGTGTGTGTGCGTATAAATACGTTTAAAGTCCAAATTATCAATATCTAATTTATGGTTGCTAGCTTTAGACATTAAAGCAAAAAGCAAAGAAAATAGTAGGTTAGTGATGTCCAAAAAATTTTACCATTTCGCGTAACCCGGCCTCCGGACCCAATTAATTATGCCCGAAAATTACCAAATTTTAGCGAATTTTGCTAATAAACCCTCTAACCGATAAGCTAAGTAAAGTTGCTCAGATCGTAATTTTGCATAATATTAGCTAGTTTGCATTATGCTTGTATTA